CACCATCGTTTCGGTACAGAAGCCCAATGGTTCAATTCGCATGTGCGCTCAATACAAACCGACGATCTGAAGATAAAAGTTCAACAAAGTTGATCTCATCCACAACTAATTTCAAGTAGAGCTATATAAATCCGTTAGAGGAAGTTACAGATAACAATAAACACATGGGATGATTTTGCCTTAACTAATCACCGCACGGGAGACACACTACACAGGCTAACTTTCAGTGGATTCTAAACAACTTAGTAAAGGTATAGCTGGAGTGTGCACTGGCTTGAACAATTATTGGTCTTACAGACTACAAAAATATGAATGTACTTACATCAAGCCTAAAACGCCATCAGGAGAGTGGAATTAAGCGCAATGAATATCAATGTCATTTGTTTGCGATGACTCTATGGATCTAGATTTTCGCTTGGAAGGACACAGGTTAAGCACCATGAGAAACATTTCAACTCATTCTGGATTCTCCGACAACCCGTAACATTAAGGAGCTGCAATCATTTCTTCGGATGTCGGAAGACTATGTCGGTTTTTACAACACTCTGCCACTGTACCAACTGGCTTTGGTCAGGTAAACGACAGAATGCTTACGATACTGTCAGGCTGGCCAGAAGTAACGCTGATATTCCCTGCATTTTGACTAAAACAAACGGCCCACTTGTCGATTTGACACGACAGTCACGGTTCTCGGTGGATAGTCTCGCAGATCGCCCAATAGCTTTTGTGTCCCTTAGCATGGTCACAGCGGAATGCAAATGCGAACAGCTAGACAAGGAAGTTACGGCGAGGAATTCGACCAGCTTTTCTTTACGTGTTACAAACATCGATTGACCTATATTTGTGGTAAGAAAGGCATCAACTAGATGGCGTCTCTTCGCATGCACCGTTATGATTTATAAGGCTCCAGTAGCATGTACACGACAGCCATTTTTCCTAAAATTACAAGTAAAACTGCGGATTCTTTGATTCGCCTGCCATAGAGTCACCTATCAGATTGTATTGACACCTAGTGATCTTAATCACTTGGCGAAACGTTTGTGTGGAAATCTGATGTCAAACGCATACGTCTGCCAAGGAACCGGATGAAACATATTAGTGGCTGAATTCAGGTGCGTAGTTTCGAATTAAGGATGGCCCGACAGATGTTACCGAAAATACAATCTTACTTTGCCAAAAGCAATAACTTAGCCTTGAGGACGACTGTCTGCTCTGGGTCCCACGGTGATCAAATTACAGCGGCTTCGACAGCATACCTTAAAATAAATATACAAACGCTCTTTGGTTACACTTGAGTGAAGGGACTTATGCGATCTTATGTGGGGTGGCCTAATAGTGACAGAGATTTCGCAGAGTTCATTCAACGCTGCGTGAAGTTAAGGGGGTAACATACAGAGTTGACCCTAACAGAAGGCAGAGCAATTAATCTGCTCAGGGATTCCGCCAGTCGTTGCTCTTTTTCAATTAGGTCAGATGGTGCATATTCATGCTCTCCTACTGAGTTGGCAGATTCGCAGAACACGATCATCTCCGGTCAACCAGACGCCCAAATACGTTACCGTTTTGCTCGGGTACCCTGACATGTAGGTGGAAACCAGAGTAGCAGGAGTGATTCCAAATAAAAGAAGGCAGAAAGTGGTATCCTCTTAGCTCTTACTGCTGTGACCTTCGACTAGCGTGCTTGTCTTCCACTCAACTGCGCGCGATTGATCGTATGTGTGCTTCGTAAGTTGCTGCTAGCATTACGTATACCGATTCGCGCTACTTCAGATACAAGCCAGACAGTGAGCGTCATTTCTGCCTTTGCCTGACTGTGACCTGTACTTCATATGGAATGCCATTCTTGAACCTATGCATTTTCCTCACTGACACATTAAAAGTGGCTAGGAATACCCCGGAGTGCATGCGATCACCCGACAGTAGATGAAATCATGTGGATAAAGGACTACAACTGCTTTGTTCAGTGGTCTACTTCTTCAGGTCCGTCTCCCACAGGATGTCTAGCTCGTAAATTGAGTTAATTTATTCACTCCGATAGGACATTCCCCCCCGCTTTCACACAACACGTGTGTGCCCCGCACTCACTCTGCGTTTTGGGCATAAGCAGGTAGAGTGTGATATCAATCCATTAACTACTAGTGTCCTATATACAATGCAATCGCGTTATGTGACTCCGTACTTCCGTGGAGACATTCATGTGCCACGGCCAGTGGGTGGTACGTTTTTTTTGTGGCCTTGAAGGTATTTTTTGACGTTCCCGATATGCTACGGCAAATCTAGATGAATACTATTTGTTTGTAGCTGCAGAGAGAAAGACGCAACATAACTAGACCATCTGTCTATCCGTATTGCCGAGTGTTTTATAAATCAAACGAACACGAACGTTATCTCGAGTCATCTCCTACTGCCCTGCAAATAAAACCTTGGGTAGATGACTTGACCATGTAGTGGTCTATAGTAACCCTTCTTATTTTGACATTTTCATAGTGAAACATGCCAACCAACTGTAGTACCTTGGAGGAAGTGGAAAAGCTTCTTGAGGAGTGTAGGGAAGAATTCCCTGAAGTTACTGTCGAGGTGTTACAACAAGACAAAGTGAATTGTCGGAGGAAAATGAAGGTGAGAATAATTTTGCCAATGCAAGCGATATACCTGTTGCTGATATACCCGGAGAGTTAGAAGTTGAAATGGTTGGAGACCACATAGAAGATGACATGCAGTTTGACATTCGGGAAAATAATGCTGAACCAGTAGATAATCAACCATCAACTGGCTCTGCGCCCGTTGCGGAGCGCCCAAAAAACAAAACCTTCCTGTCCTGCGCCGTCCCGGAAAAAGCAGGAAATCCCGGCATTCACAAATACATCTGCACGGAATGGAGACGCCGACGCTGGATCAGATAATACTGTGAGGGGGCCAACATACCCCTGTGCAACTCTCTGAGGAGTTTTTTTCGCCTGAAGTATCCGATGTAATGGTTAGAGAAACAGTTCGCTGTTAAACTGATGTTAGGAGCGATCACAATTTCCAAACAGCTGCTGACAAAATGAAAATCTTGCTGGATACGTTGATTCTAAATGGATAGCTTAGGATCCCGTCAGAAATAAGCTATTGGGATGATGCAGGAGATTTTGTTGTGCCTATTGTCATGAATGCCATGTCACGAAACCGTTTTCGAAAACTGAAGAGAAACATTCACTTTGTGAACAATTCTACTGCGGACAGCAACAGAGGTGACCAGTCATTCAAGGTGAAGCCATTGTATGGAAAACTAAGTGATAATTTCCGCAAATCTGGTTGTTTTACACCCAATCTCAGCATCGATGAGATGATAGTGAAATAGTATGGGAGAAACAACCTGAAACAATTCATAAAAGGAAAGATCATCAAAGTCGGTTACAAATATTGGGCCATGTGTTCCAGCGAGGGATACTGTTAAGTTTCTCATTGTATTTTAGAAAGGAAACCCCTGCAATAGATACGCAACTTGGTTCTCACATAGTCGGGATTGCTGTACAATACCTTGCTGATCCAATCAACTATACCCTCTATTCTGATAACCTTTACAAAAATGGACCCCCTGTCTGAACTGCCAGATAGAAGATTTCAAACAACCGCTACCATTAGAGAAAACAGAACCAACAGAAAATGCTCACTAAGGTCATCAAAAGAGTTAAACAGATATATCGTTAAGCTAGCGGCTACATATACGACATAACGTTAGAAGTAATTATAGTGGGGTGGAACGACAACAACATTGTAACTTTTACCACAAATTACCATTCACTTGAGCCTCTTCATGCTATTAAACGACGCGTTATAGGCCAGACAAAAAGGGCGCGCTGAAGATGTCCAAATTGATCTATAATTACAATGTGCAAATGGGTGTTGTGGGCCATCATGACTGGCTTGCTTCAAAGTACGTTCTTACTATTCGAATAAAAAATGACACTTGCCATTGTTTATTCGCTGCATTAATATGGCAGTGGCAAATGTATAGATTTTGCGGAAATTTATCCACCGACAAGATGCAGTGTCAGTAAATCATTTCAGACTAGCAATCGCCAAGTCTATTTGTAGATGATAAAAAAAGTCTATAGGAACGCCCAGAATACCCATATTACCAACGGGAGATAACATGGTGCGACACGACGGCCTTCGGACACTTATTGACGCAGAGAGACAAACAGCAGCGTTGTCAGCATGAAGGATTGAAAAGCAAGTCTAAAATATTATTCGGGAAGTGCAATATTACCCTTTGGCGCACTTGCTTTGAGCCAAATTAGAACACATAGTGCTATCATACGAGCTGAGTTTTCTTACACTTGATGCTTTCATGTAAGGTTATAATTATGAGCAGTACATGGATGCAAAGAAGTACTTTATATGAAATCACTCCGGTGTTTTGTTTAGAGGACAGGCTATATCTACCTACACATGCACAGACACCGTCCAACAACTTTTTATCTTCCGGGAACTCGAAACAGCTCCATTTTTACATGGAAATTAAAAGTACAAAAATTAATTTAGGAAATAACGAGTTGAACCCACCGATCTGTTAGTCCAAGCATTAGCTCGGACCTATTGGATCAATGGTTCAGATGTTCTGAATTCGCTTCATCTCACGTGTAATTACATCGCCCAAGAATAACCCTAGAGAAAATTCATACCTAGCTCACATGAATTTTGTAAAATATTACGGGTATAAAAATGGCGCAGTTATGCAAGCCACTGCCAAATCCACACGGTAGAGATTGTGCGTTAATTTACTTAGCTCCATTTAACGACAAGCGATAAATCTTAGTATGTTAGGATGTGGCAAACGTAAATCGCTAAAGTTGGTAGGGGATTTAGTCACTGTGCACCCTATTTTTAGCAGCGCATCTTTACCTATTTCCACAAGAGTTGATTAACTTAGTATTTGAAACATATTAAGAATATATGGGTAACAATTCCCTCCTGAAAAATAAATATGCAGTTTACTTGTGAATTTTTCCCAGGGTACTCTGTTCAAGGACTGTCTGGCCAGCGTATTCTGTCCGTGGTGTGCATTGTGTCAACTGGATCGCGACATGAAATATGTGGAGGCTTCGCGCGGCTACCTGGATGTATAATTATCCCAAACTTGGATTTATAAATGTGAAATAGAAATACAGCATTTCTTAGCAACTTAATGTGTAAGTTTTATGAATTTTCATATATAACGCAAAACTCTTCGCACTGTTTGTTCAAACCTGCTCAAGGAAGGGCTGGATATGTTGTTAACATTCCGCATAAGGTCCATATAGGTCAATGAACTAGTTTAGCTTTGAGGACCCAGAAAATGTTGTACGTTGTGCAATAGTAAAGATTTATTGCCGAATTGGAGTACTGGGTAATTTTAGTTCTTATGAAAATTCCAAAATAATAATTGACTGACTATTTGTCCAGACTTGACGTTTGGAAAATAATCCACTTAAACACAGTCATTTTATTCCTTTAGCAGGTTGGTTAGCGTGAAACAGAATGCTAACAACTTTACGCAGAAAAGTGCCAAATTCAGTCAGACCTATTACTACTGATGTGCCAGTGTATCGTCTTTCTCAGATGTATCAATCACATTGACGTCAAACACACGTCAGAAGTTGGGAGTATGTGCGACGTAAAACGAAATCACTGCAGTACGTGCCGAATGCAGTCATTGGAACGTGGAAACATTTTCCTGATTTGCAGTTAAAACTTGCTAGCCCAAAGCGAAAATGGTGATCACTCGCTCAGTTAGTATGCAGTCTACAGACACATCATTTCATGCTGCGATTTACAGAAACAGTAGTAATTAAATAAAGGCTATTTCTCGGCCAGTTAAATTATGCAGTTGTGAAACTGCCTGTTCTTACACAAGCAAGACCTGACTGAGCTATGCACGGAAAGTTACGGACAACCATAATACCGAGAAAAACGATTCCGCAGAAAACGAAAGCAGCTCCGGTCATTCATGGTTTACCGTAATTCTGTGCGAAAATAGAAAATGAATAAGTAACATATGGTTACCAATGAATGGGCGTCTTCTAGTCGAATACGTATATATATATATATATATATATATATATGTATTTCGGGGGTTTTCTCTTCGAAAGCGTTCTCCCTGTAAAAAGCGCGAGGAGTCAGACCTAACGCAGTAATCCCACATGTCATCCATTACCAGATCGTGAGACGCATATCAATAAACGCGATTCGAATGTTTTTGGTCAGTTATTACCCTTTGTACCCACAAGTGATTTGTTAGCTTTTTACCGTTTATTTCTTAACTCAGTCTGATGACGAATAAATCGAAAACAATTGTTTGCCCTGAAATCAACGCTTGCATTCCTCTCCGGGACTAACAAAACCACAATTGTTTGTTTAACAACACTACCACGTGGCGGATGTTACAAACCACCAACTAAAGAAATTGCCCCTTGTTTGGAAAATCACACACAATCCACGAATGTCAATCCTCCCTTCAGACACTGGTGAAGTGATCAACCAGTCAAACGTGCAGCAACATAATTACAAACTCAGAACAGTTAAACACATCGTTGTTGGCATCCTGATCCGGATTTGTCTGTCACTACAGCCTCCACGGGAACAGCGACAGGACATTTGCGCCCTACAGAGGGACCATGGGTGGCTTGCGCTGCGTCACACCGAGCCCCACCCACACATCCATATGCGGTTTAAACCCGAAGGAATAACACCGGGTGGCATGAAGATGGGAACAACATTAGATCACACGAAACCCTTAAACATGCAGAGCAGCAGCATTCCTACCCATGTGGAGAATCATCCGCAAAAATATACACAAAGCTGTGGCTGAGGCCTAGACAGTTCTAACATAGAGTCATAAAACCAGTCCAATCCTCTTTGCTTCAGATAGCTTTAATGTGAGTTAATGTGTACAGGGAGATATTGCAAACGTGTAGGCCCTGTTACAAGAAGCCCTAAGTTGCTTCCGTTTGCTTTCGACTTTGTTCACTTGCTTATAAGTGCCACCCCTTACCGCAGTTCCTAATACATCGGAGCACAATGCAACATTGTTCACAGATTCACCGGCAACCATTGTCGGGTTGTTGGTTCAGAATGATGGCTCCCAGTACATAGTGTAGAGCAATTCCTTAAATGCATTACAGTCAATTCAGTGAATGTTACCCGTGGGTTGCAACTTTGTAGCTAGTGCTATAAACTGCGTTCATAGCATCCATTAACTGCAAGGTTTTACCATGTGTTGCTCGGGGAGGATCGTAGATACAACCAAGTACATGGTACCAACAGCGTGAGGCGTTTCGCAATCCAAAATGTGCAACTCGATGAAAAGGTTCACGCATGTAGAGATAGATTCTTACAACGGACTTCAATCGCAAAGTACCACCTGACCAGGCCTGTAGAAAACCATGTTACGCCTCATTGATTCGATATTCCGAGAGTAAGAAACCTGTCTTCTCATTGTGACCATTCGTTTTTGTTCCAGACAGTAGGAGTCCGATTAAACAACAGGCTTATTGCCAAAGACGTTCGACAGTTAGCATTCATCCATCTTCTCCCTGGTCCTGAACGTGCTTGGAAGCTCTTCCGAAACTGCTCAAATGGAAGGCAAAATTACATTCTTTTGGACTGTTCACCATCTTAGTTCTTCCTCTGGTTTAACCCACCTTGGAACCTCCTTTCAAATTCAGTCCTTTATGCATATTTCATTAGTGCGCCAAGTTAAACTATGCTCGATCGACTGCCTTCCGTTGCCTGGCGAGCGACAGTCATTGTCGTCCCTAATCTCTGAGCCAGTGATCACGTCCGTCTGTGCTTCTGATTCACTTCGTCCAGTTGTTTTTATTCTGAAATATCACAGGGAATTTAACAGCCCATTTGGCATCACCGGCTGAAGGAAAGTCTCGCTGCGCCCTAAACTCGGAAACGAAGGGAGACCAATCATGTCAATGCCTACACCATCAGTCTACGAGCTCATTTTAAAATCCCTCCGGTATCGACGCTTTCGAGCTGCACTCTAGGTCGGGGTCATCCGTTACATCAAACTGTTTTACCAAATCCTGAAGAATCCCGGCGACATTTGTCATTCGTTAAATTCGTTCATAACTTCCTCCTTAAAATTCTTGAGCTTAAGTTTGGCAACGTAGTGTACCCTGCTATAATGCTGCATTAACATCTTCTCCTTGTGAGTGTGCTAGCTGTGGAATATCATTTACTGTTACGCAATCTCGGTCCCCACTGCACTAGCGAACATACTTCAGACTCTGTGTTTAAGTCCTCCTTGGGAATTCACTGCTCATCATTTGGTTGCATGACCCCACTTTGTTTGATCACGCTCATAAAATATCACCAAACATTCTAACAACATTTTTCCGCCACATGTCCCTTAGCAGTTTCGACCGTTTGAACGATGCTTAACTTGTAACCCAGTACCTTGACGGTTAACACCATTTTGAACTTCCTACTGCAAGCTCGGAGCCTATGGATGTTAGTCAGAAAGTGAGCAACGCGGCCTTCTCGTTCACACTGGCACAGAGCTGTGCGCCGTAGCTTTTATGAGGCTTTCCTTGTTATTGATTCCAGCGACACACAGCGAAACGGCAGCGCTGGCTGTAGGTAGCTTAGTAACATGCGTCATATCCAACAATCGTGTCAAGACCAATAAGTGCGGCGAAAGCTTTCGTCAGTGACTTCCTGCAGGTTGTTCTGTCTGCGCATGCAGCGTTGTAACGATGGCCGTGGCATTGCAATATCGGTTCGCAAATGACGTCAGTAGAGGTCTGTTTGAATATCCTTCGCCAGTACACCAGCACAGAGGATGCGGGACCACTGGCCACGCTTTCGGCCTTCAATGCAGTCGTTCACACTCCTGCGACCGGGTGAGGACATTTTGAGAGACTAACCTCCAACATTGGACATTTGGCAATTTAGTGTGCTCTCGTGTCACCCTAATGTCACCGAGCATCAGAGTAAAAATGGACTGTTCTTTTGGGACACACCATGCCAACGATGCGGCACACGCACCACATCAGCCGCCTTACTGGCCTGGGTTAGTAAATCGAATGGAAGCGGACGCAGCACACGTACCAGTCGCCGCACTGATGCTCCTTAGACAACCAACTGACTCGTCGTCTTTTGGATGCTGTCCCAACGTGAGCATGCTCATCTCTTACCAAACCCGCTTGGCTCAGGCATTCGCGACCGCATATGCTACCGCATTAGGCGTTGGACGTCGATGGGGTAAACTATAGTGGCGCCTGTTGCTTCTGTAAACAGCGCTTCTACTCCGCCGGCCCCTAGCCTAAAGGCAACGAGCTTGCCTTGTAACGTGACGGTGCGGTTTTGAGCCTTCGTAGAGGCAAGGCTAGCCTCACAATATCCTTAGCCTGCATGCGACCGGCGGTCATTGCGCCGGTATTGCCTACCGGCATACTGCTGATGCTTCTACTCTGCATGTGGCAGTGTTCTTCTGTACCCGTGCAAGTGCCCACTTGTCCAGCTCACACCATTCGAGACAATCAGCTGCCTGTGGTTCCCAATACCTGAAATCAACATTAATTCATGATAAACTCACCTTGATCATGTCCTGGTAACGTAACTATGGCTTGCCCGCATGACGCTTCTCTACACGTAGTTGGTCGTACAAAAACTCTTTGAGTATCCTAGTCGATATCAGTCGGCTGATATGCCGCAGCCGTTTCGAACGCCGTAGCAGAGGTATGCAGTCCACTGTGTACATACTCAAACACTACAGCCCGCGTCAGCGTCTACGGTGTCATATCGGATAGCTTTCCGACCACAAGTGGCGTTCGTCAGAGTTGTCTGATTTCCAAGTTTTTGTTCAATTTCGTCGTGGATTCTATCATGGAGTGTTTCCTTGCCGAATCTCACCATGTAGGCGTTGACGTGCTGCCTGGTGAAAGGTTAGTTGATCTAGATTATGCGGACGATATCGTCTTGCTTTTCGACGATATTGCAGCGCCACAATCAAGCATGAATAGCCTGTCCAGAGTGGTCCCTTTATTTGGTATGCACTTTGGATTTTCAAAGTGCAAAGTGTTGCTGCAGGACCACCAGCCACTTTATGACCCCTTGACGCTTACTAACGAGGAACTCGAGGTTGTTGATCATTTCACTTATCTTGGCAGCTGCAACAGCAACGATGGGCGCATAGAAACTGAAGTCAGCTCACGCAATGCAAAGGCCAGAGCTGCGTTC